ATCACTTGTAGTTAATCAGGTCTGATTATCAATTATTGCCCGTTGAATATCAAATTAATAATTTTAAATCATTGATTGTCCAAAAAGTTTTTTATACAGCTCTGGGGAAAGATGGGATAATGGTATCCCCCAACCCCATCCCCAATTTTCTGGTTCCCCGAGCTGTCCTGAAAAACGAATAAATGAAAGGAGGCCAAAAATTCACAACATTAATGGTATTCATAACAAACAAAAGCAGAATTGTATAAAATTACAGACCTGAAACATCAAGAAATGTACAAAACAGTTCCTTTCAATTAAAGAAACAAATAATATAGTTCATAATTTCTTTGAGACAATTTTCAGAGATAATATTGTTACATATAGTTACATGTATCTTTACAGACATTTATGAAAATGTTCCAACATGTTAAACACATATGTATTCTTGAAGTTTTGTTTTCCCACATTGCATATTCTATTGCAGCATCCAAGTCACCCAGCTGCATGCACTAGCAAAATAACATGTATTTTTATCGTCTGCTTCCAATGTCATAAACAATGCTCTTCCAAGATTAGGAATTTTAAACTGATACAGACTGATATCCTTGTTACTAATAATAACAAAGTTCTTTAATTTGCATTCACAATGTATAATATAAGTAGATTGTCAGAAATTGTGCATTCTTGAAGTTTGGGTTGTCTACTGTTCCAATGTTGTCACTTGAATAATTATTGTTATGTTCTTGTTTTTATCACATCTAAGTAATGCATATATACTACATGATGCCTGAAACAGCCCAATATTAACATTTTCATACTAACTTTCCCTCACTTACTCAAAATAGACAGTTTTTAATATATAGTTTTTAATATATACTAAATGGTTTAAGTCCATTATATGTATAGGTTAAAGTTTATTAGTACGTATTTACAAAATATAATTGGTCAGGCGCGACAAATTTAGTATTGTAATTTATGTACTAATATATTTTAACCAGCTTAGTGTTTACTATTTATTTATTATATTTTATTAGTTTGCTGATTTACCAAAATAAATGTGTTGCCATTCATTTGAGATTCTGCAATCCTATTGGACGAAAAATAATTTCAAACACTGAACTTCAGTAGAATTCAGACATACAGTATCATTGTGTACATTATATACTTCACATCAATGTGATCATGCAATATTACAACATGTGATCAATACAAATGTTTACTCTCATAAAGTAATTAATAGTATCAGAGATACTAGTGGCAATTAGTGCTGTTATACCCACTCAATATTTGCTGTATGTGTTTAGTGACCCATTTCATGATCTGTTATTGACAGCTGATAAACTGTTAAACTTTTCATGCTTTGGGCTCAATTTTCTAGGGTAAAAAAATAATCAATTAAAACCTAAACATATCACCTGACAATCTAACTGGTCCGTGTGCCAATGGCTATTTACAAATTTGTTCAATTTTTACAGCTATAATTTTTCAATTGCACCGTTTGTAGTGTAAGCCCATGTCAGAGCATCAAAAGTTAATTCCCAACGTTTTTTATGTTAAAGCTCACACACATTGAAAATATATCAGCACAAAGATTTCAAAATATTGCAGTCTTTATTAAGTTTAATTAAGTGCAAAATCTATAAAACATTTGTTATGGTATTTTTGATATAGTTTTATGTAAATGTACAATCTGTTGGTGTGCTTTTGTCTTTTCTAAAGAACAAACATACAGTGAAGCATAGCTTTAAAATGAACATATAAGTTTTACATCTTTTATATAACATCATATTTTACTACCTTTTTCATATGCACTTTTAAAAATACATTGATCAATATGTTCATGCAATATTACAACATGTGATCAATACAAAAACATTTACTCTCATAAAGTAATTAATAGTATCAGTATTTCTGTGGCGGCGTGACTGTCACGAGTGGTTAAAGCGTCAGACTAGTAATCTCAGGATTGCTGAAAGCGTGGGTTCAAACCCTGTCAGGGGCAAGCCGTTGTTTCCTTGAGAAAGAAACTTTACATTCATTGCTTAGTACTGGTTGGTTCCAGGAACGGATTTGAGAGCGTTTCATTAAGCTTATAGCTTCCAACACAATCAAACTAAAATAAATTTGTATAAATAGTATCAGAGATACTAGTGGCAATTAGTGCTGTTATACCCACATGATAAAGAATACATTTTTCTCAACAAATATAAATATTTATATCTTAAAACATATTTTCATTACAACTTTTATTTATATAATTGTTACTCATCTCTACAATTTCACCTACAATATTTAGTGGGCTCTTTTTTCATTTCATCATGTATTACAATATTTTAAATTGACTGTCATATTTTAAGAGTGTTGATATCAGACATGCACAGTAGTTGACACTGAAGAATACGAGACAACCATCTCAAATATGCTTCATCATACAAATACATGTAAAATAACACCCCTTAAAACCCTAAATAAATGTACTACAATACATAATCTTGTAAATAACAAATTATACCAATTGTACAATAAACAAGCTTATTCCATTTAAAATATTGCCAACCACTCCAGAACTGAGGTGTATGATCTGAACCATGTACTGTGAGTTATGGTGTTCCTGTGAAACCAATGATTTTGTTACAGTTTCCACCCTTAATCTTTTTTTACCTGCTGCCAAATGAAAATTGTACATGGCTTTTTTTTCTTCACTTATAACAGCCACCATATTACATTACATTTTTCATTAATTAATTGGCAAACTGAAAATTGCTTCAAATAATTTATCTTCATGTATATTTTGTATATCTTAGAATATGAAAACAGGACCATTTTAAGCAAAAGTAGTTCAGTAGTTGGGGTTGGCAATCTCATTTTTGAGTTATCTACCCTTGAATTTGAATTTAATGATCGTGTTAATTGTTATTTAGTAATCAGTTAATATTAATGTAAAGCACCTTTGCATGTATTTGAAAAGGGTATAGTCTATAATTATAAGTTTAGTAAATAATATATAGTAATAATGATGATGGTGATTCTCATTTCCCCTATTTATATATTTACATTCATATTTAATTGTGATCCCTAAATTTAAAATTTAAATTCAAAATTGTCCATGCCTTCATTCCTTATGTAACATGATCAAATATAGTATGCAACACACTGTCAGGTTATATTAAAGGGACTCCCCTGAGGTCCAAAGGCATTCAAACATAAAATTTGAAAATCTTAAGAATATCAAGTGAAACACTTAAAATTGAAAACTCTGCAAAGGATAGCAAAGAAATGTACTAAATATTGAATTAAAAATCAATTTTCTGTAAGATTTTTAGCTGGATGTGAGTGAAAAGCGTTGCAACGCTTTTTCATTTTCTAACCATTTTGCACAATAAAAATGATTATTCTGAAAAAAAGGAATGAGGGAATGAACTGAAAATTTGCACACAAGTTATTAGCCCAGAACTTCATCAAACTTGACACCAATCTCGAGAAAATGTTTAAAATCCTGACACATCAAAAAAACTCAGTGGAGTCCCTTTAAAGTCTCTTTAAGTTTAGTAACATAACAGTTATACTCCAGACAAGTCTTTAAACACATTTATAAATTAATAATTTTAAAATTAAGCTGTCATAAAAGACCTGCACTGAAGGCAAATTGCACAAGACATTACAATATTTAACAATTTACATGAATTGATACTTATTTGCTGAAACAAATGAATTGTGATGCTATATTGCAATATAAAAATTGCAAAGCAATGCATTTCATGTATGATACTTACTTTTAATGCATTAAATAAGACAAATGTTAAGATTTGTTTCCACTGACAGACTGCTTCCATGTTTTTATTTTTCTTTAATAAGTTTATTGTGTAATTGCCATACAATTACTAATCAGCCTTTTTAATGTATTGCAAGGTGAAATCTATAATTATTTAGGTGTATAATCATGAACAATTTCTCTCCTATAAGGATAATTTCTCTTAACCAGTGAATACCATGATGTATACCAAGGCTTTCTTTACGAAACCTGACATTGCAAGTTGCAACAAAAACATTTATCAACAACCTTACTACATTATCAGGCAAACATGCTCTACACATATTAATTTTAAAAACTATTTTACAGATAAATTATCATAAAAAGTATTGCCATTGTATGGCTAGAAGATCATATTCAAACATGTCAATGTTGTATTGATAATGTGTAAATAATTTATGAAGAAACACTTTATATTCTGAAAGGAAGAACAATAAGAGAAAAGTGAGTCAACTGTGTATAGTTCTATATGGTTTGTGACAATGTTCCACAATGAAGTAATTATATTAAATGATCAATATTTCTATCTGCAATCACGGGAATTTAGTGTAAAACAATGGAATCAATAAAAACAAGCACTAGCCACTACAATGTAACTTCAAAAGAATGACTAGTAAATAAGAATAACTACCAGTTGCTTATTTTTGTTGGTCAAATTGGAAAATAAAATTTCAGTTTCATGAATACAAAGCACGTCAAGATGAAAATAATTATCTTTCAAAAATGCAGCAATTTTTCAAATTAGTAAAATTGAAAGAATATATATATCAAGTAATCCTAGTAATATACAATGTATATATACATGTACACGATTTTGGTGTAGTGGATAGATGGGCGGGAATGTTTACAGAGAAAACTCCTTTGTTTATATTAAATCATTTGGAGTAGAAAATATAGCTATTATACATCACAATTTGACAATTTCATCAACCAACATTTTCAAATATTGTTCACGCAAAAAACTGATTTTTCTTGTGACATAGATTTGATCAATACAGTATAATATGAAGTAACATTTAACAGTTGTCTATATGCAGGTGAAAAAAATCCCCACTTTGTCTGATCTTTTACTAGTAATTAATAAAATATTCAAACATTGATTTTGCGTCCGGCTATTTAGAACATAGGCGATATTTTCGCCAAATAACACATGTTAAACAAAAGTATAAACAAAACTTAAACGACCATACAATATTCAATAACTTACTCAAATCCAACCCATGCGCTCTGAAGAATTGTAAACAAAACAATGTCACTAAAATTTCCGGCGACACAGATGCGAATTTTAAAACTACGTTGAATTTTCTCTTCATTTTCTACATTAAACCTAACTGTTTTGTTTATCCACAATTGAAATACATATTAATTCCATGGAATAAGTGTACAATTATCCATACATTGGCAATTAGTTTCATTTTACGCCATTCCGTGTTAAGTACAGTACACCGTTAACATCAATGAAATGCACTGATTATGCCGACTCTGGACTGTTTCATTCTGCGTGCGGGGGACACAGGTTGTTAAATGGCATGAAATAAAACAAGCACTGGACAAGGATTTTACGCGATAAAATTATTATATTTTAAGCGGACTTTTATATAAAGCGCAAAATTAATGAAATGTGAATGAAGGAAGTAACATAAAACTTTTTAAATTTAAATAAACTAAATAAGACGAATTGTTTTGTTGGTATCTTGGTTGTTGATTTTATTAAGTTTCAAGGGATTTAATCCCCGCGTATCCTTCTTTGTTACTATACTTATTTACCTCCCTTGTATATGTGTGTCCATCCATACTGCCAAAAAATAACAATATATCAGATTTGATCAATTTTAAAACTATTCTTTTAGAGGCCCGTACACGTTTGTACATTATATATTTATCACATACCCGTGTCACTTTTCCGTAAAAAAATGGTAGTGCACGGCCGTGCATATTATTTTGACGTGACGTCATGTAACACTAAATGGAATAAACGGTCTTTATCTAAAAAGAATGATAAAGTATTGTAAGCTCAATTGTACCCGGTCAATAAATAAAATAATATTATGGTCACAAGTAGCAAAGGTTACAAAGGCTCGCAAAATATAATTTTATTCAACTCGTTCAATAAATTAACTTATTTACACTCATTCAATATCCTCTATTAATTAAGTATCTGCCTCACTGCACTGAATTTAAGTGTGCATGTATTCTATGTTAATGATAGTCAAATCCCACACCGTACAATCAAATGGGTAGACAACCGTTCAGCCGTCGACAGCCGTACTAGTATATACATGTCGGTGTAAAAAGAACACAATTGACGGACGGTAAGTATTTATCTATTTTTAACATATCCCAACTGTGTTCGAGTAAATCAATGTTATAGGTTCATAGTAAACATCCAAAGAAGCATGCTCCTGGGCGTGAATTTTGACTGAAAATAACCACACTTTACGATGAGATGCGGCATTTTTTTAAGTCACAAAAACTTACATTTTCTAATGATAATAAATCATTTTAAGATACGATTCGTAAACGTCAATATTTCGTCATTAAATACTCCAAACCATACATTTAAAAATGTTTTTCTTTTAAATATATAGTTTATTTAAGTCTGAATGTCTTGGGTAAAGTCATCAATTTAATGATAACAACGACATCCACTCACCAGCAAGAATGAATAACACTGAAACCCGTTCAACGAAACAATTTTCAGGGCTTTTGTGCTATATGAGTAAAACTTTTTTGTTCATTTATATTTATTAGTTCATGGTACTTTCTAATTGACTTCATGCTTACGTAATATTTTCCAACAAATCAGTGGAAGAGTTATGGCAAACAATCTCCAGCTCAATTTAGGAAGGGGTCAATACTTTTAAATTTATCCCATCAAAATGGTCATCCTCCAAAAGTAAACTCCCCTGGATCAAGGTCAACCTCAAACGTCTATATAGGAAAAGGGACAAAGCCTACAAGCAGTACAAGGGCCATAACTCAAATAAATCTAGAGAAAAATATCTCAGCATAAAACATCTCTGCAGAAAAGAAACTAAGTTAGCCTATCAAAATTACTTAGAAGATATACTAAACATTAACAACAACATCTCTCAAGAACATGAACAAACACAAAACAGACCAAACACCAAAAAGCTATATTTACTATTAAAACACTCAAAACAAGATTCTTTTGGCATTGACTCACTGAAAAAACACAATAAACTGTATACATCAGATCAAGACAAGGCAACAGTACTAAATGAACAATTTCTAACAGTTTTCACTTAAATGCCTTGCTGATATCAGGCAGATACAGGTAGAGAGGTTCCCCACACATCATTTAGCCACCATAACCCCATGCGTGATATTGATATCTCAGCTTTTAAAAAACCTCAACCCCCATAAGGCTGCAGGACCTGATCAAATAAGACCCATTGTGCTCAAAAATACCAGTAAAGAATTAGCCCCTATAGTGTCCAAACTTTTCCAGAAATCACTGCAGTCCAGCACTCTACCAGACATCTGGAAAATGGCAAATGTCGCCCCTGTCTTTAAACAAGAGCCCGGTTTGAGCCGGGTGATGCTCCCCGAATAGGTTTTGGACACAGGAAAGTACACCTCTTGTAGTTTCAGAGTTATGTCCCTGGAAAAAGTTCAAAGTGCAATAATTCCAAAATTAGGCAAGGCAGAGTTACTGTTCTTTGCACTGCACTTCTAATCAATGTGATCTATCAACCTACAAAGTTTCTTGATGATATCTCTTATGATTTCCGAGTTATGTCCCGGACAACTTCAAAAAGTAAAAATAAACAAAGGGCAATAACTCCAGAATTAGGCAAGGCAGAGTTATGATTCTTGTGCACTTCACATCTACCCATTGAGATATATCTACCTACAAAGTTTCATGTTGATATCTCTTATAGTTTTACAGCTATGTCCTGGACAAGATTTTTCTAAAAGGGGAGATAATTAAAAAATGAGGCTTAACGGAATTATGGTTCTTTTGCACTGCACCTCTACTCAGTGAGATCTATCTACCTACAATGTTTCATCTTGATATCTCTTATAGTTTTAGAGTTATGTTCCGGACAAAGTGCAAAGTGTTAAAATTAACAAAGGACAATAACTCCAAAATTAGGACAAAAAGAGTTATTGTTCCTATGCACTGCACATCTACCCATTGAGATCTATTCACCTACAAAGTTTCATGTTGATATCTCTTATAGTTTTAGAGTTATGTCCCGGACAAGATTTTTCTATAAGGGGAGATAATTCAAAAACCGGGCAAAATAGAGTTATGGTTCTTTGACACTGCACTCCCCCTCAATGCCCTCTACCACTGTATGAAGTTTCAACAAATTATCTCCGAAGGTTTTCAAGTTATGCTCCGGACAAGACAACGGACGGACAGACGGACGGACAGACGGACAAGGCGCCGACTATATGCTCCCCCGAAACTTTTCGGGGAGCATAAAAAGGTAGCAAGTCAGACCCAGCCAACTATCGCCCTATCTCTCTTACCTGTATCTTGTGTAAAACCCTGGAACACATTGTCTCCTCCAGTATAACAAAACACTTTACTAGATCAAACTTGTTCTATGAATTGCAGCATGGTTTCCGAGAAAAAAGGTCATGTCAATCCCAATTATTAATGCTTATAGATGATATCCTACAGTCAGTAAATCAGAGAAGCCAAGTAGACTTAATCCTTCTTGACTTCTCTAAGGCCTTTGATATGGTCAACCATGAAAAACTTCTGTATAAGCTGCATTTCTACGGTATAAGGGGTCAAACTCTGAAATGGATCAAAGGTTTTCTTGATAACAGATCTCAGTCCGTGGTGGTAAATGGCTCCACATCCAGCTCCATACCAGTCTCCTCCGGTGTTCCCCAGGGCTCGGTCCTCGGACCTCTCTTATTTCTTATATACATCAATGACCTTTCTGAATATGTCGAATCCTCTAAAGTCCGCCTATTTGCTGATGACACGGCCATCTATCTATCTCTGACTGACGCTTCTCATTCTAGCTTACTGCAACATGACTTACACCAACTTGAACAATGGGAGACAAAATGGGACATGCAATTTAATCCATCAAAATGCCAGGTTATCCAAATCACGAAACGAAAAACAGTCATTCCAACAGAATACCTTCTACATAACACCACATTAGAAACAGTTCCATCTGCAAAATACCTTGGCATAACAATATCAAATGATCTAACATAGAACAAACACATAAACAACATCACAACAAAGGCGAATCAAACACTTGGTTTTCTACGCCGAAATCAAGGTTCACTCACTAAGGTAAAAGTCAACCGCATACAAGACACTTGACAGGCCCCAGCTTGAGTACAGCTCCACGTTCTGGTCCCCCTACACAGGAACTCTCATTGACCAGATAGAGTCCGTCCAGAGAAGGGCTGCTAGGTGGGTCAAACATGACTTTGGCCGTATGTCAAGTGTCACTGACATGTTGACTTCCCTTCAATGGAGGCGCCTTGACCTTCGGCGTATTGACCAACTCCTGGTCATGTTTCACAACATCTTGCATGGCCAGGTGGCTATCCCTTTCCCAAAGTATATCATTCCTCTTACAAGAGCAAGGGAATGTAGACAAGTTCAATGCTAGAGAAGTGGACTCATAAATTACTGTTCACAAGGAAACTTTGACTTACATGTATATGCGAACTTTTATGCTCCAGCTTTGCCGTATTCAAATGCGCCACGCTTTGAATATGGGAATCAATATATTACTTTTTAACAGTTAACCATTCTTATTTTCGATATGTTATCAATAGAATATTATATTCGTGTAGATTCGATACTAAATTTATTGAACTCGTTGAATAAAACAAAATCATGCTCGCCAGAGGTTCGCATAATAAGATTTTATTCAACTCGTTTAATAAATTTAGTATTAAACCTACACTCATTCAATATCCTCTATATCTATCATATCATAATTATACATGTTTATAACATTGGAAAAAAAACCAAACACATTTCAACGTTAATAATTATTATTGAATGTGATTTTTTTTTCAAAACGGCTTATATAAAGTTTATACATTTTTGGAAAAAACACCATTTTCACGAGCTTACCGTTCAAAAACTATTTGACTAATTCCGATGCAATTTCATTTTGTACAACTTTGGAACGTCTTCTTTATAAATTGTAAGTTTTAAAGTTCTAACCCAAGAAATATGTCCATGACATTTCCGCATGGCAAGGACATTTTTTGGTCCGGCAAATTGTTCTTTCTGTATATAAAGTGTATACATTTTCGGAAAAAAACACCATTTTCAAGAGCTTACCGTTCAAAAACTGTTTAACCAAATCCGTTGCAATTTCAATTTTGTACAACTTTAGAGGGTCTTGCCCTGTCCTTTTTATGTTTGGGGTCCGCCTGGGCTCCTTGCCATTGGTTCTTGTTGCTGGGTCATATGGGGGTTGCGTTCATTGAACGCCGCCTTTCCTTGTTGATCT